ATTATCATATCTTTATTAAGTTTCTACCTGATAAATCTTATCTTATCTGTTTTTGAAATATAAGTATTATATTTTAAGTTTTTTTATCTAATTGTTGGCTTCCATTTTTGTGTGAATTGCTTATTGGTTAGTGCCACTTTTTGTTATCAGAGGTAAGTCCACACAGATTTTTGGGTTTTAGATAGGTACTGCTGCTCTGGCTTTCAGAATCAATTTTTAGTGTGGGAAAATTGGACCATTTGCTCGTCGGTGAGAACCAAATTTGTGAGTCCATCCCCATTAACTCTATTGAATCCAGGCAGAGGCCTGAAAAGCCATTTTCTGTTTGACTACCTAAATTATTATCTCAACTGAAGGGTGTAATTTTTTAATAAAAATCCAGACAGGTCAAAAATTCAGTTAAAAAGTTTTAATTAAAACATCTCAAGAATTTTGACACATTCTGGATTTGATTAATTTCAACCCTAGGTTTATCTAGTATCTGTGGTAGCTACCTTAATTCAAGAGAAAGATTTTGTCTATTTAGGGAGGAATCCAGAGATTTCATTTCTTAATTTTTTTTACCTATCTTATTTTTACTCGTATTTTTGCCTGCCAGAATTGTTATCAAGAAAGCAGCATTCTGCTCAATTATAACGAGCATTTTAATAATCTCGTTATCATTTTAATTTTTTTATTATCTTACCATTAATCTTAATTATTTGATTGTTTTTTTTTTACATTAAAATATATATTTTTTTCAACTTGCAATAACTGTTCATACCTGATTCTGTTGGAAGGGAGTGTCTGTACAACAATCATTTTATATTAAATTTCATTTTAAATTTTCTCTGCAAGACACTCACTTTTTTGACAGAATTCAGGGATTTAATATTCCAAATTTTGGTGAACCTGATACTGCCTTATTCTTTTCTGGGTACCTACTCTACATAAAGATCACTGTTTGGAGTCTGGATCAGCTGGAGTGACGTCACCCCAGCAATCTATCCTCTTCCTGGATACAGGAAACAACACGAAAAGCTCCAGTTCACGAAAATGAAACCCCAAGACCCATTGAAGAGCTCCGGATTGGAAAGCAGGTACTTGGTATCAGATTCACCAAGAAAAACCAAGCTGTTAGCACTGAAATTTTACAGAACATTCAGCCTTATTCACGTGTCCACTTGTTTATTGAAATTTTCCAATATTGGATATTGAGACATTTCAATATTGAAGAGATTTCTTATTCACGTGTACCCCTTGAAAACGGGATTGTTGGAAATTGGAAAACTGTTCTTTAATTGAATAAGTTAAGGCGGCAACACTGTAAAATTGCCAAAAACCTTAAAAATGTAACCCCACTTTTCTATTCATTTTGTTGTTTATGAGTTTATTTATTTATTTTAGTGCCTGATTTAGCTGACTTGGATTGGAATTTAATATCTATCATTTCTTCGTCAGTTATTTGAATTTATTTGTCAATTCTCATGGGTATTCTTTGTGACTCTTTAGGTTTGTTTGTTTCTGTTGTTCAGGGCGGCCTTCATGCTTTGGGGCGTTTGTTTGTGAGCGTTTTATATGGTTTATATGCCATACAGAAATATTACAGCTTAGTTCAAGTTAGACTAGTTAGAGTGACACAAACTAACAAACCTTTTGTCATATTCATATCCACTTTTATAATGGAGGAAAAACGCACGTCAAAAATACAATAAAAATGCAATGCACTTAAAAAAATAATCACAGACTTTGGGATGCAAGATGCAATGCGGACGTTCTGCATCTGGAAGAAATTGCCCAATTTCCTCAATTAGATTAGATAGAGATACCTTGCAGTATTTTTTCAAAACCTGCTGATGTTTTTAAAATTATTTTCTGGCAAATCCAAAGGGTTATTGCTTGTCTCCCAAAGGTTATTCTTTTTCTGATTGTGTTCAAGTCTAAAAAGTATAATACGATCATAGTTATCCAAGGCACTCTGCTTCTTGATTTTCTTAGACGATTTTTTGATAGCTCATACCACTCACCAGGAATAAAGAGCTTCCTCACCTTTAATTTTTCCCTTCTAATGCTGCAATAAGCAACGGAAAATCATCCATAATTGAAAATTAAATACCACTCACTTCTATAGTTACTGAATCAAGTTTTGAAAACGACTTTTTTCACACGGCTTAGACAGTTTGTTGGACCGAGCCGTACTTAGGCGAATTCCACAAGTCGAGCGAGTGTGAAAAAAAGTTTTCAATCGAGTTTTTCACAATGTTTTTCCTACAAATGCAAAATAAAACAACCAAATAAGTATGTAATTTTTATTAACCATAATAAATAAAAAACTAATAAGCAGCGTGTGAAGAACTGTTTCTCACACTACTGTGCGAAAAACTCTATTTTCAGAGGTTGCCTAGCGTGTGAAAAACTCCATTTTCAAAGGCAGTTGTAGGAAAAATTCTAAACATAACACAAAACCCAATAGTTTTCCAATATCCAATTTGCCAAGCCGGTGCCCGAACCACCTGCTTACAAAATATGAAACACTGAAAACTGTTATTGGAAAATATAGTACACCTGAATAAGATATTCGATGTTAATTTCAATAACCAATATGACGTTCAATAACCAATATTCAATTCAACAACTAAGCAGCACCTGAATAACAATCCACCATATTTTTACAGTTTTCCAATAACCAAGGCAATAACCAATATCTAAGGACACACATGAATAGGGCTGATTGTAAACTAAATAAAATTATTGTTTGTTGGATTTTGAGTGGTTTCATTTGCACATAAAGGGACTACACGTTATCTTAATTTTTCTTTGAATTCACGACCCTAGGTTATCTTTTCTGAAAGTATACAAAAACTCATTTTTAATTTGTAACAAACCTCAACTCACAATGGTATGCTGAGAGTGGGCGGACGATTAGAAAAGTCACATCTACTATACGAAACCAAGCATCCGAATATCATACCTTAGAAAAGCCATCTCACCAAGCTCATCATTTTCGACGCTCAAAATCAAACCTTACATGGAGGAAACCAGCTCACACTGGCATATACAAGAAGACAGTTTTGGATAATAAATACCAATTAAGCTGTTAAATCAGTTATTGGAAAATATATAAAATGCATTCGGTCTAAGGCAACTACAGCGGACCAGCTTATAGGAAATGTCGAGTATCACCGTTTCATCTTTTCGAGCATCCAGGCGTAGACTATGCAGGACCACTGCAGATTCGGAACTAAAGGAAGAGGACACAAGGGATACATCACCATTTTTGTATGTTTTGCGACCAAGGCAGTCCATCTAGAAGTCGTAAGCGACATGTCATCCGACACCTTTTTGACAGCCTTCCGACACTTCATCTCACGAAGAGGACGCTGTGCACATCTCTATAGTGACAAGGACACCAATTTCGTCGGTGTTAGCAAAATCCTTCAGAAGAAAATAGTCACGACCATCCAGAACTCCAATATTCAAGACGAGCTATCATCAGTGAGAGCACAGTGGCCTTACATACCCCCAGGAGCACCACACTTTGGCGGCCTATGGAAGGCGGCAGTCAAATCTATGAAGTACCACCTGCGAAGAGTTGCTGACATACGAGGGAATGACCACACTTATGCACCAGATCGAAGGCTGCTTGAATTCTCAACCATTGTATACAATGGAGGCCTATAGTAGAACCTCCGGATCTACAGTCATCCCATCAGGTTTTACCGAGAGATGGAGGTTGGCACAGAACATTTAAATAGATTTCTGGAAAAAATGGACGTCCGACTACTAAAATCAGCTGCAGCAGCGCTACAAATGACAAAATCAACAGATCAACCCAAGAGTAGAAGATCTTATGATTATTAAAGAGCAAGACATTGACTCTAGCAAATGGCCCCTGGGCAGAATAACGGAAATCCACTCATCACAAGACGATAACATCGTGCGAGTGGTCACTCTGAGAAACGCAGAAGGAGGCCCTCAAAACGGCCTATACATAAACTAATCCCTATTCCAACAGAGAATGATGACTTGGAAGCAATGAGACTTGAACGAAATCAACCATCCCACTCGAAGAGTTACAGAAAGACTTGGAGGATAGTAATTTCATCGGCACTGATATTTATGTTCATCTTAAGAAATACTTCAGCCCAGAAATATGAGATACATTATCCTCCTCCAGGCTTCTATGTAGAGGACATTGGACACTCAAAGATAGATAGGGGGACCTTTAGAATGGAACTCCGATTTAACAAGTCTAGGATATTGAATGACACCATCAACATACATTTTTCAATTCAGCCGGTTTTGTCTCTTTGTGTGAGGGCCAGATAATTAGCATCTAAAACGGAATGTTCATCGCTACTTCACCATCTTCAAGAGAAACAGCAACACGTCGAGTGGATGAACAGAGGGATGTAGAACGTGATCACCAATCATAATAAGCGAGGACTTATGCGAAAATTACTCTCATCAGTATTTGGAGTTAACGATGAAGTATACGTAGACATTGAAGAATTAGACAAAAATCAAAAGGAACTCATCAAGACCTCTAATCACCAAGCAAAGTTTATGCTATATGCTCTGGCTACATTTAACCAGACAGAGATATGAATCAGCAATCAGCTAGAAAGATTCATAAAGAAAAATTTATTGAGTGCGTACCAAATCGTGGCAAATTACATAGATGAAGTCACTGATTACCATCAATCTATATAAAGTTTAAGTACCTAACGGAAATAGGAAGTTTTTAAATCGGAGTGAGAAAATTCTTGAATCGTAATAAAAAGTAAAGTTCAAATCGGGAAATTAACCGTTTTCCTTGGAAACAAAACAGTCAGCGGACGAGATCAATTATAAAGCGAACTTAAAATAAACCTTTGACTATTAAATAATATGTTAATTGCTCGAGTTACTTCAAATAATTGAGATTCTAAAAATTTAAAACATGGATTTTTGCCAAAACTTCCTTTGATGTTAATCCAAAAAAAAAATACAATAAAATAAAAATCATGACTGTTCCTTACCTTCCTTCAAATCTATGTTTTAAAAAATCGAATAAGGCTTTTTGCATCATATCGGTCACTTCGTAACCTTTCAATGACGGTCCCACTAGTACTACAGGCCTCATCGATGGAACTACGTCATAAGGTGCTGTGGTTTCTTGTTTTTTAAAAAACGGTTTTTTCTTCTCTTTGGCTGGAGGAGTGGTGAGTGATTTGCCTCTGGGGTTTCCCATAGAATCAGACTCATCACCTAAAGAATACGGTTATGTCAATGTGTGTTTTGGTAGTTATTTGAAAGAGTAACCAAATTTCGTAATAAGTGTAAACAAGAAATTTATAATATGACGAAAAATGGAAACTCTTTTTAGATAAAATTATACTAACTAGAGAATGAATCATGAATCTGCAATGTAATAATATGAGTGTTACATTTGATCGTTTTGGCAATATATTTTGCTGAGGAGTCTGAGGCAGGGACCCAATTAGGAAAGTAACCGCGTATTTCTCCAACGTCTTTCACAAATGCATTTATGATACGGAATATGTGTATGATATTAGCTTTCATATGGTTAGATTTTCCTCAAGACGAAATATTATGTTATTGATTTGCATGATATCTATTAAACTTTTTCAAATGAACAAAATAAAGCTTCAAAATTAATGGGTGAAAACATGCTATGTCGGTGTGTATGTGCTGAATAAAAATAAGCAGCTACAAGTTGTTGATCTTCAATCCTACTGAAGCTAAAGAAACTTTAAAATTACTACTTCTACTGTAAACCAAATTGAAACTATTTCTCTATCAGCTACGTGTAAAAGGAGATCAATTGGAAGGATTGGGAAAAAAAAATTGATTTTCGAACAAAAAAAATTGCAATTGCCAATCAAAATGAGAATTTTTGCGGGTTAACGCAAAATAGTCTGTACAAACCTTTATAAAAAATAAATTAAAAATATACGTTCAAAATACATTAAAACAGCCAAAATACATACATTATATTCTTACTTTCCAGTGAAGATTCAATATTTTAATATGGTGATAACCGCGGATTTGTGATATTTACTCAGAGAAACAAATAATATCTTTCTCTTGTAAACCCAATCAAACCATTTTAGTTAGGCACCAAAAAGACAGTAAAAGCAAGGCCTAAGTAATTAAATTTTGGGAACCAAGTGACACATGCATATAAAAAAATCATGGGCAGCGCCCTATACACGTGGTACTATCGCTTCGTATTTAGTATTTTTGTCGCTCGCTCTCTTGACGAGAATTCGCTCTCTCTCGTCTTGTCTCGAAGGTTCGAGAGAAAGTGAGTCTCTCGTCTCGACGAGAGACCTTCGATACGAGACGAGAAAGCTCTTCTCTCGTCTCGTCTCTCGCGAGTTTTGACTCATAGTAAGTTAATTTCGTCAGAATAATAAATGTTATACTTAGGTATACCAGAGGAGATTTCTGCGTCATTACCACCATCTTAATAGTGCTTACAACGAGCATGGACAACATAAGAGAAAAAGGAGCGACATCCTATGGGTTTTATAGGTGTATACCATGCAAGGTAGGTTATATAGGGTTTGGGAGAAAGTGAATTACATACATACGCTGGTAAGAATTCAGCAGGATAACGCATATTTACATTCATTATAGACTTCAAGATAAATTATTTTTACATTGACAAGCTGAAATGCTCTCAGAGCTCTAAAAAACATAAATTCCCATTGTTGGGTTAATTGTTTTACAGGATTTCAATAATTTGATTCTCTGAGTAACACAAAATCACGGCATCGATAGACGAAAAAATCAGTCTATTATCGACTCAGATTAATCCACGCCAAACGCGAGCTTCTGACATACTGAGAGCTCAGATAATGGCTTGATACAAACAATAAAAAATTCTGTGTCCCAATAGAAAGTGTCCGTTGTTCTTAAATTATTTCAGGGAAACGGAATATTAACCACCAATATAATAGAAATCGAATTAATATTGCTGCGGTTAATAATATTCCAACTTTCAAAAGATGCTGATAGTATACACACCAATAACACATTCGCTGGTAGGACGTAGATTATTGTGAGTCATCGATGCCGAAAAAAATTCAAAAAATCAAAAAAAAAGAGACCGATTTGGATGGGACATACCGGGTGTAGGAGGAGTGCTACCTCTCGAAGCATCGTTACCCGCAGCTCCGATGTTCGAACTCGAACTAGTTTTACTCGAGTAGAGTTTACTCGTGCGAGTCTGCGCCTGCTGCTGTCTGAGATTCTCGAGTTTCACTGGCGATGGAATGAAACCGATGTCACAGCCTTCTTTCACCAGACGACCTATCCACCAATTGTTATCATACTTTTCCTAAAACATATTTATTAAAACTGTGATTCACAAGAATATGATTAAATGGATATTTTCTACGTGTGCAGTTTTTCATTGAAATCTAGGTACAGATTTTTTAAGGTCCAGTTACCTTTATATGTAAAAAATCCCTGACTTCGAACGAAATAGCGTATCCATGAACCGGTGAGTCGTCGTCCAAACTACCGTCGTAAGCGACGTTGGTTCTTACGGAAAATGCTACCGATCTGGTCTGAAATAAAACATTCATCGTAAAGTAAAATTAACAAATATACTTAATGCCAAACTTTGGATGTGAAATAAATTTGTGAGCTTTGTGAAGTTATTCACGACTTAGGGCGTATTCTACTTTTCCGACTTAGGATCAAATAATATTGTACGAGATTCATAAAACTTATCATCTACGGTTGAACTTAATTATCAAAATATACATAATATGATGTAGCTGTTACAAATTTAGATACAGTGGATTTCGTAGAGGCTAGACTGTTGCACGAAAATATCAAAGTAAATACAAAATAAGAAATGAATGAAGAGAAAAATGAAGTAAGCTTATTCGAATGAATGTCTAAAGGCTGCTATACCTACTACTATAATATATAATAAAATAAATATTTCGTCAGGAAAACTTTGGTAAAATTACACTATACCAGTCCGAATAGCAAACCTTTGCCACAACACTATTCAAATAAACAAGGGCGATATTATAGCCATTTATGTTATGAGCCTGTCACAGGGATATCAAAGTGTGAAGCTGAAAAACATCAAGAAAATTGGCAGTGCTCATCCGATCTGTCAGCCACCTAGAAGACTTCCCATGACCAAACAAGAAGAAGTGGAGTCATAAGTAGACGGTATGCTTGCAGGGGGAGCTGTCGAAGAGTCTTTAAGTCTGTGGTCATCGCCAAATGTACTAGTAACACAGAAAGATCGATCTACCAAATTTTACGATGTCACTAAGAGAGACAGTTACCCATTACCCAGAATTGGAGAGATAAAGAGAAAACGGCATTCTGCACTAGAAGTGGTCTTTACCAATCCAAGGTAATGCCTTTTGGACTCTGTAACGCCCCCGCTACTTTTCAGAGGTTGATGGAAATCGTACTACGAGAACTTACGTGGAAAGTATGCCTTGTCTACCTGGATGATGTGTTAGTGATACGAAAAACTTTCGATGAGCACTCACGAAAAAGCCAGAAGTATTTACTCATATCCGTAAGGCAAACCTCCTATTGAATGTCAAGAAATATTCACTCTTCCATGTAGTTTCCTTCGAAGGAGTTCATACTGACGAAAGAAAAATCCAAGCAATTCGTGAATGGCCTCGCGACAAACGTGAACTCAAAAGTTTCCTTGGGCTTCGTACATACTACACAGGATTTGTAGAAGGATTTGCTAAGGTAGTAGCGCCGTTGCATAAGCTTATCTAAGAAAAAACTATTTTTTATTAGACCACCTAAGTCGACGTAGCTTTTTGAAGACTTAAAGGCAGCTCTACAGACTTTGGCTCTATGTTCCAGTCCTATATCAGTATACCTACGCCTACAGGGAAAATGTATTCGCTATATTCCAAATCAAGAAGCATGTACAGTTGCAAAAGTCCTCATCAATAATGTTTTTAGTAGGTTTGGAATCCCATTGGAGGATCAAGGGCGCAATTTCCAGTCACGACCATTCCAAAAACTTTGCGAACTGTTAGGCATTCACAAGACAAGAACCACGGAATTGCATCCACAATCAGATGGCATGGTTGAGACATTCAAAAACTACTCCAGTTATATTAGGCCGGAAAAATCAACATCTACTGAAAAAATCCGAGTGAGCCTAAATTTTGTCTACACCTTTATTTTACCTCAAGAAATAATGTCTTAAAAGTCCCCATCAATATCGCACTTGGGTTTTCAGATATTCAAGGTCAAAGGTCATGAAAATCTTATTTTCTCAATAATCATTATTACGTTGTCAAATTATACGGGTGCTGAATTTTCTATAATTAGAAAAACATTAGTCAGGTCTCCAACCGCTCACTAGAAACCTGTCACTACGAAGAGTCACAGGCGAATCGGCAACAGTTCAAGGAGAAGCCATGGTTGAGGTTGCTTTTGGATCTACCACCTTTAGGCACACAATATTAGTCGCCGATATAGAAGATGATTTTATTTTGGGAATGGATTTGATCAGCCAACATTATTTCTCTTTCGATCCTTCTATGAACATCTTTAAATTCGGTAATGAAGAATTTTTTCTAACTATACATATTTCGGGAATGCCGAAACCCTTTTCATCGTGGACGATTACACAGAGCGATCGAGGCTACAAGTTTTTTAATATAAGATATATTCAGGAAGTCTACACATATACAAATGTGTCTCAAAATGAGTGTACCTACTATTAAGGCAAAAAGCTATAAAAGCCAGAAAAAAATTAAAACCCTCTTGGACTTTTTTCGAAATTATCATCATGCTTTAAGCTCACTGCAGGTAAATTTGAAGCAGAGTAAGAAAACTATAGTTGCATAAATCATGGTACTGTTATCAGAATAAAGAATTTTCTCATAAACTCCCAATAATCACCTGATTGAACTCGCCTACTTTATCAAACATCCATCTGTCGGACCTGGGGGTTATTAGGGGGTGAGAATCAAAACTAGAGCCAAGTACAGAAATGGGAAAGTGTATTTAAAATAAAGCTTATCACAAAAATATTTCAGATATGAGCATGGGCACTCATAATTATCAGTCCTGTGATAAAGGCAGTATTATTACTGACCAATTAACGCGGATCATTCTTGGTCTCTAGACGATACATTAACAACTCTACCGGGATCCAAATAGTTTTCAACCTTGGATCTTTATAGTGGATACTGGTAAGTGGCAATACACAAAGATGACAAAGAGAAAACTGCGTTAAGTATCGGCAGCGGGTTAAACCAGTTTAAAGTAATGCCTTTTGGACTGTGTAATGCTCCCGCTACGTTTGAGCGACTGATGCATCTAGTTTTGCAAGGCCTAACATGGAGAACTTGTCTGGTATATTTAGATGATGTCATGATCATGGGAAATTCTGACTGCTTCCGGAATGCCAACTTAAAACTCAATCCAAAGTGTTTTCCATTCCAAAAAAAGTGGAAATCTTAGGTCAAGTGATATCTGAAAATGGCAAACAAGTTATGGAAGGAAAAATAGATGCTGTCAAAGATTAGCCAAAACCAACGCCTTATGGCGTTTCCGATTCTGAACACCGGGTAGGCCTATGACGCCCTTTCGTCATATTTTGACAGCTAACATCTGTCAAAACTTACATTTAACAGCTGTTGAGTATTCCAAATTGTATTATCATATATAACACCACAAGAGAAAAAATTTTGTTGGCAAAATTTTCGACTGATATGAAAGTTTGTTGCTTGGCAATTTCGCGAATGACATCGCAGAACATATCAGCTATAGAAAAATATCTCAAATGGGAGAATCGCGACGAAGGTTTTTAGTTAGGTTTCTAGTCAACGATGGCGACACTGTCGGAAGATAAGAGAAATTTACAGGTATCTGTGGTGTGGACAGTGATTTGTGTTGGTTGGTTTTGTCATTTATTTCGTAATTTTAAAAGTCAAAATTTGAATTTTTAAATTGTGTTGTTGTAAACCATGGTCCCCACGCGCGTTAAAGTGAAAATTCAAAAAGTTTTGGTTGAAAAAAACCCTAATTTTTGTTCGTATTTTTTTGTATTTACTCGTTTGTTTCATTTCGTTCGTATTTGTATTTATTATTCGTATTTACTTTGCGATCTACCTATAGCTGCGTGTCTCTTGCTAACTTACTAACCCTTTTTGCACAATGTTCGACATCGGAAATTTCCTGCCAGTCATAGTTTTCAAAAAAATGAGGCGAAAAGAGCTAAAAGGAGTCAGCAAGCCTAATGCAGTTGAACATTAAAAATTATTTAAAAATAATAAAAATATATGAAAAAAATCAATTCGCCTTTTTGTCAAGAATGCTCGATTAGTTGGGTTTTCAGTCAACGATGGCGCTGTAATTCATAACCGGTACATAACATTGCAGATACTTTTCTGGAGATGAAATTTCATAAGCGAAATTACCAAAAAGCAACAAACTTGAATAAAACCAAGAGAATAATTTTGCCTACATAATTTTTTCTTGAGTGGTATTCGGCTGGACTATTTCACGAGAAAAACAAGCCAAATTTTTATTTAGAAAATTTATTTTTTTTAGGTGACACCTTTCAAACTCACTAGTTTTTTACTCTAACCACACAAAATTTTGTCGCTGAAAAACCATCATGTTGATTTGGTCCAGGTAGGAACAGGTAGGAGTTTTGTCAGTAGGAAACCGGCCGTTCCTATGACATTTTGCCAGCACCATCTTCTAAAGGAGAAAAAGTGACAATGATGATGTGACATTTATTTTAAAATTGCTTTTCAAATAAACCCGGGAAAAAATAAAAACGATTTTACAAAATTTTGGTTTTTTCCGAATATCTCCGGAAGTATTCGGAATCTTTCTAGTTTCAAAACGGTATTCTATTGGTAATAAAATTGCGCAACTTTGCCATAATTTAACCGACCCCGTATCTCTTACGGTTACCGAGATCCCAATGATGAGGCTCAAATTTGGGCTACCCTGTATATCTGGAAAACGAAGCATTTTCGGACACATGTTTATTAAGAAAAAAGTTTTATTTTCACGAGATCTACCATCCCTAGAAGTTTGTAACAAACCTTTCGTGACACCCTGTATAGATGTAGGTACTTATATGAACATTTGATCTTGAATATCTTGAAACGCAAACCAGATATCGGTGGGAACTTTTAATACATTATTATAAAAGTAAAAGTGTATGCAAAGTTACAGCTCACTCCGATTTTTTCAGTAGATGAATCCTTATATGACTATACTAAACAGTAAAAAAAAAAGAATTAGCTTGATCGGTTCCCAATTATTCAAACACTATCTTGAGTAACTTATGTATAACATTCAAACTTTACCATAATTTGTCTGTATACATCATACATACATACATAGCAAATAGTGAAATTCTAAAACCAAATAAGATGGACCCATTCAGAGATGACACATTAAAAGCAAAATGTCAACGTCAAAAATAATCAAAATTGCAACGTCAAATAGGTAATTAAAAACACACGTCAAACAATCAAAACTATCCCCAATATAAATCATAACTTAATTTCAGCCTGATAATTGAAAACTATACAAT